TTATTTTTGAATTGAGGTAAAGAATACACTTTAAATATGATTTTTTTTTCCTTCCTATATAGTGTAGTTTGTCTAGGTCACCCCAACGGGCCTGTCAACTAATTTTAACACATAATTTTCGGTGCCTTGTCCTTTATTATTTCACATTATAATGAGAGGAATAGTAATTTTTTTAAAAATGTGTAGTTAAAAAATAAGGATAATTTTTTTGATTTACGTGTAATATTATTTTATTAGAGAATGTACAGTGAATAAAAAAAAAGAAATAAATTATAATTTAATGAAAAATAATTATGGTCATACAGGGGCTCAATATGTGTCCATGAATAAAGCTTCCATGACCCGAGCTAGAAGTTGAATTGAATACAAAAGTCAATCAATTTGAATAACTGAACAACAGCTATCATACATATCCCTTTCGTTTTGACTAATATCAAATTTTTAGATTGTACTGTTTGAGTTAAACTTTGAATCGGTCATCCAGGCACGTGTCAAGGGCTGCACCAAGCTTGGTAGCAGTGATCTGCAGGGACGAATTCAGGAAGGAAGTTCAGTGGGAGCAAAATCAAAAAACCTTGGAAAAAAATCTGAAAATCTAAAAAAATCTGGACAAAATAACTAAAAAAATCTGAAAATCTGAAAAAAAAAAAAAAAATCGGGAAATCTTAATATTGAGTGGGGGCGGTGGCTCCCACTGGTCCTCAAGTAGGTCCACCCCCGGTGATCTGTCAAACTCAACCAACGGAGAACTGAGCTGTTTTTTATCAATACAGATTGAATGATTTAAGATTCATTTGTAGAATTTTTGCTTCTAATTTTAGCCCTTATTTCAGCCCCATTTTGATTAAAAAAATGCACTTTTAAGTAGTGATTTTCGAAGAATGTGTGGTTAAAAATAAAGATTTTTTTTATTTACGTGTAATATTATTTTATTAAAGAATATGTGGTTGAAAATAAATTTTGAAAAAATGAATTTTTTATAAAATGAGGCTCAAACAAGAGCTTGCTTTTTGTCAAGGAACTTTTGTAAGAAATTATATGGGTTATTGACGCAAAACGTCCCTACCTATGGCGGGTTGTGTGGAAAACGTCCCTACGTTTGATTTTTTGGTGCAGAACGTCCCTACCTATGCATTTTCTTGCGCAAAACGTCCTTTTCCCTAATTTTTAACTTAAAATGACCTATATACCCTCCAATTGAAATAAAAGGAAAAGGGA